CTGGATTCTTTTATGTTCCGTATCTGTAGGAGTAACCCATACCAATGCAATTTAAGATATAAAGTTTATATTCTGGTGTGAAATCCAGGCAATTATTTTCCACATTTGTCTTACTTAAGGTTTTCCACACAAGATTTACACAGATCATTATTTTGGTTTTGTATTTCTCCAAAATGCTATAGTACAGGTGATGTCTTCCTTAAATGTCAAAACATTTCCTCCATGAACTGACTTGTACTCCAAAGTAACGCATAATAAAGTTCAGTGCTCAACCACCATCCAGTGGTCTTCCTATGGTCTCACCTCTTTTTTTTGCAGAACACTGAAAAGGGTAGGCGTAAAAAGAACATACTATAAACTTTTTTTTAAAGTAGTGAACATTTGCCAAACAGTAGTACTCTGCATATAGAAATAGTTTTACCTTTATCATTACAGGATCATGACACTGATTAAAGTGTAGGATGTGAAACACCTGTATAATTTTAGATGGCAAAATACGCAAACCTTGTTGAAATATCATGTATACATTTCAAGATATTCATAACAATCAAAAGGTAACATATTTTGACTAACCAAAAATCGCATATAAGCATGAACAGAGTACAGGACAGAAAAATATTTCAAAGCAAAGCCGAAGAAAGATTTACTTTTTCCCTTTAAGGTACAGGAAAAAAACAGTCAAATGCTGAAACATCTGATATCCTTTTCAGAAAGTTTATTTCCTCTTTTCACCAGATCATGGGAACATCCTCAGTTGGGCAAACAATGAATGAGCAAACCAATCAACTTTTTTGTGTATATAACTGCAAGTAGATAATACAACATATAGACCAACATTTGGTCTACAAACTGAAATTTTAACCAAAGTGCTTATGTTGGCTAGGGGGATGAAAAATACTATGATTATAATCCACACAACAATGCTGTCAAAAGTTTTCATACAGATGCAGTTATATTGGCAAAAGACAAACAGAAAAAAAAATATTTTTCCTGAATAAATAATACATACTACCAAGTAGGATAAACATATACAAAATTGGCTTTAGGTGCATCCGCACTAGGGCAATTTTGTCCCAACTCAACTCTCATGAAAAGTGCTTTTACAAGTACACAAGTCTTGAATAGCCAGAATTTAGAAATTAAATTACTTCAAACTTCCATACAATGACACATAGCATTCTTCTTAAGTGTGCGCCTTTCACTTCTCCCATTTTTTTGTCTGTATGCTTGTTTGTTGAAGTTTTGGAAGTGTGCATGAGGATAAAAGACAGACATGCTGTATTTCCAGTAATTTACAAAATTTGCATCAAACCTGCAAGCATGCTTTTATATAACATAGTTTTGTGCAACGGCGAAGTTGGAAAGTCTACAGTTATCTAAGTGGAATTTTGCACTGGGGACAAGTATGGCCCCAGTAATACAGTTCCCTCCTAGTCCGCTGCAGAAGAGCTACTGGGTGAGGGAAGAGAGGAAAAGGGGGGCTAAGCCAGAGAAATAGGAAGAACTGAGTGATCAGCAAGCAAGGCACTACTTAAGTACAAAGACTATGAGCAATCACTTGGCCTAAGTGCAACAGAAGAAAACTGAAAGGTAGAGTGCTAGACATCAAATAAATAAGATCTTCCTCTCCCATGGGAAGGAAATCTGATGTCCTAAGAATGTGATGTTCTCCTACAAAAAGAGGAGGAAGATATTAAAAGAATTAAATTCTTTCTTAAAATTGTTTCTCTGGCTTCCCCCCCTACACTTCCTCAAGCAAGCTTTTTTCTCCCTGAAAGATTAATCATTGAGAGTTGTTCAAACAAGCATGTTGTTATGAACTTCATTTGAATCCAACTGCAGAAAAGAAGAAATGCCACTTATGCTATGTAGTCCATCACAAGATGCAACAGATAGGCCTCATTCTGAGCACTTTTTTTCTTAAGTGAACAAGTACAATGAAAGACTTAATTGATCACTTCATGAACAGACTCTGCAGGAAGAAGGACATCTGAAGACAGTATGGTTCCTGCTTCTATTTGTACAGGAGCATTCTCTTACGAATGTACTTTTCCTTCCAATGATTTTTCTTATAGCAAGAACACCTTAGAAAAGGTGACATGCAGGCAAGATCATCAGAGAGAAGCATTTCAGCATGGTCTAATCATGCTGATATCATTCACTGATGGCTTACCTTCTGCAAACATTGGTCAAACCCTGCAACAGGCTTCCTAGTGAGGTGGTCGATGCTTCAAGCCTGTCAGTGTTTAAGAGGCATTTGGATAATGCCCTTAATAACATGCTTTAACTTGGTCTGCCCTGAACTGGTCAGGCAGTTGGCCTACACGATTGTTGTAGGTCCCTTCCAACTGAAAGAGTTTATTCTATTCTATTTTGAAAGATGTTTGAATTGATTTGTTAAGATGAGGCTGATGAACTCCATTCCATTTCTTCCTTCAACAGTTCTTAAAAAAATTGGAGAAAAATAAAACTGTTATATCTTGCTCTGTATTTCTTCAGCCTGGAAAAGAATGTGCACCCCAAATCCTGTGCTGTATTGAAGACATGAGATGCTGTAACAAAGACACAAGAGAAATCTGAGGAAAAAATTAGTTTCTTTTTAGTGGTCACAATAATTACGGGGGGGTGGGGTGGGGAGATATTTCAATTCAAATAGTGAAATAAAACCCATTTTACACCTATATGTGAGAGACATTTGCAAAAACAGTCCATCTGTGTAGAAATATGAAGCCTGGAAAACTGCCAGGGTTTCCAAGTGTGACCTGCTGTGCAAATGCTGATTATGCAAGTTAAAGCTGTCTGGGATGAATTTATGTTCCCTGTTTTCCAGGCCTCCAAATAACTTTCTGTTACTTACAGAAACCATGTCAAACCCCAAACTTTTATCTGACAAGTTTTCAAGATTCTTGACAAGTTCTGTAAAGCACGATTCCCTTCCATTTGCAAAACGAAAATGAGTTTATTCCAAGTAAGAAACTGAGGCAAAAATGTATATCCAAAAACTTTAAGAAGAATCAAGTCTTGGTCACTTTTGTTTGAGTTGTTTACAGAAGCATTTAGAGAAACGTCTATGGTTTATTTCAAAACAAAGAAAAATGTGAATGACTGACAACCATCTCCTCAGTATGAATTATTATTTAAGCATGCATATGCATCATTATCTTAAAACACTAAAAAAAATTTCTGAAGATGCAGCAGCTGCCTAGAATCACAGAACAATTCAGAGTGGATGGGACTCCACCTTTGTCTTACAAAGCAAGGCTAATTTCAACATCAGACCAGGCTGCACAGAGCCTTGCTTAAATCAAAACTTTACATATTTCCAGGAATGGAGATTCCACCACCTCTATGGGTGACTGCTTCAATCCTTGGTCACCCACCCTCATTGTGAAATTATTTTTTTCTAAAACTCAGAATGAATTTTTCCTGAGGGAATTTGTATCCATTGACCATTATACTTTCACTGTGCACTTTCAAAAGAATCCATCTTCTCTATAAACACCCATTAAGTAGTTGAAGACAGCAGTAAGATGTCTCCTTCACCTTCTATTCTGGAGGCTAAACAAACCTAGCTCTTTATGCTGCGCCTCATACATCATATCTCCCAGCCTCTAGCTATCCATGTTGGTTGTGCTCAACTGGACTTACACTAGCTCCTCACAGCTGTTACTATCATCATTACATGTCATTTAAATGTCACTGTACTAAAGATGAACAAGCAGTAAGGTGACAGTTATTTAAACACTGAATGGTTATTCCATGTGAAATGTTTTACAAGCAAAGAAAAATACGATGGTAACACCACCTTGGTTTTAAAAAGTATGAAGCAGGCTTTATCCACTGAAAAAGCTCCATACTGCATTCCCCCCCCCCCCCCCCCCATTTAAGAAAACTAGGTAAATATATACACGACTATTAAAATTCAACAACAAAAAGCTGTTAGAAATACACAATATCAAAATGCTGTTCAAGCAGCTATAAGAAAGTGATTTGTGACAAGGGAATTTTTTTTAGTGACAATGCTAAGCTCATGTTTCCAAGCTGACTGCTGCCTGTGAAGTTCTGGTATTGACTTATTTTTCAAGAGAGAGTGATGGCCTCAAATTTCCACCTTGAACATGAATCTGCTCTGAGAAGTAAGTTTGCATAATTTCACCAAAAGTGTAGTGTTGCAGTATATCAATAAACACTACTAGCTAATTTCAAGAGCTGGGGGTCAGCTTTATCCACCATGCACATATGCATGTGTTTTTCCCCTTCCAAGAAAGAGGCTATGAAGTGAAATGAACAGGTTGAGTGTAAAGACAATGTCCCCAGTGAGAGTCACAATAAATATTTTAGTTGTAAACTCTATTAGTCTGGAAAAACAACAGATTTTACTGCCTATGATATTTGAGCACTAGTAATTTATAATTATTAAGGACTAATGTAGATTAAGCTTTTCCATTTTTTTAAACTATATGAGGTTCAACGCTGCTGACTAAAGTAAAATAGTTACATTTCACCTAAGCTATATCTCCTGCAATATACATGCAGTTACAAAATACTGCAAATGAGTTATCTGATATTTTTAGAACTTTTAACACTACATATTAACTTACATTCTGTTTACATTTAAAGGTTACATTTGTAACCGTAAGAAATGAAAATATAATTCTTATTTAAATGAAAACAGCAATCTTGGAAACTTTTGTGGTACTTGCCTGGAGGAAAGGACTCTTCAAATCCTGGTATTTATTACCTAGTTTCTTGTGGTTCTTAGCAGGTTTTAGATAAACTAGCAACTAGTAACTACAGTTCCGGTCACAGAATGATACAACATGATGTCCCTTTAGCCAACAGAAGTTCACGCTGGACAATAAAAAGAACTCATTTCTACACAGACATACTAGTTACTATGTAATATTTTGTAAGTTTTAGAACAGATTATCAGTTGTAAGTTTGCATTGATTTCGTATTTGTTACTTACTATTAAATTTATTTTAAAACAGATTTTGAAGAGTTCTTTGCAGAAGATTATTTGACCAGAACTAGAGGATCACGATGACAAGATTCATCTGTTTAATGCTAATAGCTGTTGTGGGAGCTTCTGCAAGCAAAACACAGGAATTTGAAGACAATAACGAGGAAACAGAACAAGAATTCATTTATATGAACAGATATAAGCGTTCCAGTGACACACAGGACAAATGCACTTACACCTTTATTGTACCTCAACAGAGAGTGACGGGCGCCATTTGTGTTAATTCTAAGGAGCCTGAAGTTCTACTTGAAAACAGAGTAAACAAACAAGAATTACAGTTACTTAACAATGAACTTCTTAAACAAAAGAGACAAATAGAAACTCTTCAGCAGCTTGTAGAGGTGGATGGTGGGATTGTTAATGAGGTTAAGCTGTTAAGAAAAGAGAGCAGAAATATGAATTCTCGTGTCACACAACTCTACATGCAGTTATTACATGAAATTATCCGAAAACGTGACAATGCCTTAGAACTTTCTCAACTTGAGAATAAGATTTTGAACCAAACTGCAGACATGTTGCAGCTTGCAAACAAATACAAAGACTTAGAGCACAAGTACCAACATTTGATGTCAATTGCCAATAATCAGTCAATAATAATTGCCCAACTGGAAGAACACTGCCAAAGAATGCCATCCATAAAGCCACTGCCACAAACTCCACAGCCACCAAATAAAGTGTACCAGCCTCCTACTTACAATCGCATTATTAACCAGATATCTACTAATGAGATTCAGAGTGATCAGAACTTAAAGGTTCTGCCACCTACTTTACCAACCATGCCTGCAGTTACTAGTATTCCGACTTCAACTGATAAACCATCTGGTAAGTAATATTATTGATGTGTCTACATTAATTTATGTTAATATGCAGTGAGCAACATTTTAACTGTAATATCAAAAATGCAGACAGAATTTATTTAGCAAAATAAATGAAAATGAATTATTCTGAACTGAGATTTCTTAGATCAGACATTGTCTGTATACCTATCTTGTGTATTTTTAATATACAAGTTGTAGTACAAGCACATAAAGAAAGCAAAAAATCGAATTCTGAATGTCTAACACATTCAGACACACTAGCCCCAATGATTTTTCTCATGTTACTTCACCAAGACAAACCCACCATTTATATTACATGTACAAGATAAAGGGGCTGCAGAAAAATCTTACTAATCAATAGTCAATCATCTAAATTTTATTTACCAGTGCCCAAGACCGAATTGCTATAATTCATGACATCTGAAGGGCTTTGACACTTTTTGTGTAAATATTTATGCAGTTATTACAAGTCTGTTGATCTAGCATGTGATAATTTTTGTGACTGTCTAACTCAAAAGGGAATACGTATCTGCTCTGTAGGTCACACAGGGCACTTGCGCTCTAAGACAGAAGCAAAGGGAAGCATGTGGTGGAATAGTAAGGGATATTACACAGCCCTTATTAAGAGTCCTAGGAGTTCTGCCATAAGTGAGGTTAGAGGCATCTGAAATCACATTAGAGATCAATTGATCTACATGATAAACAAGTAACAAGAGAAGAATCCAGTTTCACCTATGGTCCTACATATTTTTTAAAAATAGTTCAAGTATTTTGCGTCCCATACAAGAGAATTCTGCTCTTCAGTGTGTGGGCAACATGTCCTTGCTTCAGAGGAAAGATAGTGGACCCACAGACATCCGAAACTGAGACTTGAAACAGAGTAATGCACATGAAATGCACTCAGAATATATTTCAAGGCTATTTGCAACATATTCCAAATGATATCAAACTCTTCAGAATTATCAAATAATGCAACTGTCACATTAAAAAAAAAAAAAAAAAGACTTACTTCCCTGTGGAAATATCCACAATGAAAGAAACTTGAACAGGTGTTTGTCTAAAGTAGAGTCTCTAAACCACTTTGCTACAAAGCAGTTATTTCACAATATTGCCAGAGATGAACTCACCAAAGCTTGCATTGTGGCACACAGAACCTCAGCCAAAAATATCCCAATTTCATGTAAACATCATCTTCTATGTAAAAAACCAACCAACAAAACCCCAAACAAAGAAAAGAACCAGGAAAAAAAACAGGTCTATTACAATTTCTTTGGCAATACATTACAGGATGGCCTCTTTAATAATTACATTTTGACTTTGATCTTAAAATTAGGCTCAAGCGTAGTACAGTATTTCCCTATTTTTCTGTAAGTGAAATATCTTTCAAGTGTTCTCTTAAGACCTTTCCCCTTCCTGTTACACTCTTCTGAAAACTCGTTAAATTGGTCCACATCCTCCTTGTGCTTTTAAGTACCCAAACTGGAGCGGAGGCTTCACCATCACACAGCAGAATAGAAAAGTTACTTCATGTGCATAGCATTTTTGTTGATCTATCCTCATACAGCATTTTCCTTTTTTGCAAAGAAAAACATTTGAGTCAGGGCCAACTTGCAACCCTGTAGAACCCCTAGATCCTCACCTGAGGAAGAGCTGCTTATCCAACTATTTTTCACGTTGATCTCCAGAAGTCCCTTCTGAAGTCTATGATTCTAAGATAAGATCTGACATCTGTTACTTCTCCCTTATGTAGATAACGTATCAGAAAAAGAAGTTTCACATTTCTTCTGCACAAATCCATTATAATATTAATTTCTCTCCTTATTTTCTTGCTTGCAGCAGTTTGATTTGTTCAAGCAAATTTCCAACAACTGAAGTTAAGCTATTTAACCTTTCATTTCCAGGGTATACTCCTCCCCTCTTTCCACCTTTTTTGGGGGGGCAAGAGACATTTAATACCTTTTCCTCATCCTCCAGAACGTTCACTCACAAAGCACATCTCAAACAAAATCCCTCCCCACAATTAATGCCGTAAATGATGCTTCAGCCAGATGCCGAATGAACTAGAAAAAACCCACAAAACCATCCCCTCCCCCCAAACAACACCTCACCAAACAAACAAAATCCACCAACCACCACAATTGCCCAGCCACTTTGAAAAAAAAAAAATCCACCTATATTTTATCCAGGCCCTTCTGTACTGTGCCTTGAATTCTCAACCTTTGCTGAAGCTCCTGGCTGTACTAACCACCTGATCATAGCCAACCTGTGCAATGAAAACTGAATGTGAATGAAAAAGACAATATCTGTTACTGCTGGCCAACCAATAATATGACTGGCACAGTCGCATTTACCTCAGTCAAAAACCAAGAATCTGAATTGGAGGGAACAAGAACTGCCACAGAAATGAATTTAACCAACTTACAGAGAGTTCTACACACATCACTTATCTTAAAATAAAGTGCTCATCTTCTTTCTAGATGAATTTTTTTGAAACAACCTACTTCATAAGTTATTTATCATTTAAAATCTTCAAAAGACTGACTCTTTCTGTAATGACTTTATACTGTACTAGGATACTAGTGCCTTATGCCTACACTCAAGAGGAACGTACTTCAGGACAAAACATTATTACAACCATGATCTAAACCAAGACAGTCATTTGGAAGTATTTCTCTGTCACGTTTTAAGCGTCTTGCCCTACCTGTTATTATAATTTACTGTATATTGTGACTCAAATATACCACAGAATATTTTCTCCATATTCACAAAGGTAAGCTAAAACAACTAGCCAAGTAACAAAAAGTAATGTGCCAGATTTGAGAGGCAAGGCATAGAAGAATAGCATCTTGTTAAAAATTTATTAGGAATATTTCAAGTGCTGGATATTTCAACAGAGACATCCTAGTCTATTGCCTCTAAGATGACAAAAGCTGATGACTGTGTAACAACAACATTGGCAGTAAATCATAAAAATATGATGTAGATAAATTAAAGAACCCCAGTCTCATAGTCAAATGCTCTAGAGAAAACAAACTGAAAGAATGCATTGTGAAATGTGGGCATCATCATTAGATATAAAGCAATTTTAGAGATACAGACTTTATAACAGACAACTTAATTTCTCTGCAAGGACTAGTGTCATACTTTGATCCATGCATTTCCTAGAAAGTCTTATTTTACGAGGCATAAAAATGCCCCAATGTACCTGTTGGTGGTTCTTTGCAAAAATAAAGGAGAACATAAAAATTACTCCAATCTTATCCGTAAAGTGTTTATTTCAAATTCTTATTTGTGCATTCTTACTTCCACTCATGCCCAAAAGAGTAAGCTGGGCAAGTTTAATTGTGTCTGCAAAATACTGAACATGTACACAACGCTGAAATTCTACAGAAAAAAAATAACAAATAAAATCAGTAAAGAGCCAGTAAGTCACCTAATGTCAACACCAGAGATTGTTCAAAATAACTACAATTGTATTTTACTCCATTCTACTGAGCAAAACATGAATTCCAAGTAAAATTTCTATAGTCCTATTTCGGAATATTTTTTTCTTAGACTTGCTTGAAAAGAGCTAAAAGCCTAATAAAAGACTTCAGGGTGAAATGGTCTAGCTGTGACACTAACAACGCTTTTGTTGGAGTTATTACCCAGAGGTTTGGCATGGGATGTAGGGCTATGACACAAGAAATCCCAACAACTCTGCATACATTAATGCTTAACAACTACAAGTTTTAATATGCCAATGCAAAAAGCAGATGTGGTTTATCTGCAATGGGTTTTAGTTTATAACATCAAAAAGCTTAGCCCACAGGGTCAATAATTCAATTTGATCTGAAACAACGATTTATTAGTGTAGAATTCTACACTCAACAGGCCAAACACTATTACGTGAAGCAGTAGCACATTTTTTGTATAAAACAGACTTACACGAATAGCTTATAAAAATATTCTGCGTTGTATAAGTTTGCTAGTACAACACTGGAAGATGACTAGACACAAGACAAATGAAAGCTGAACTTGAAAAGTAAATTAATTTGATTCATCATCCTTACTCAAAAAAAAAAACCCCAAAACCACCCAAAAAAACCCAACAAATCTTTTTCTGAGAACAAAACATTTAGTAGCCAGTTATACCAATTATGAAATGTACACTTTCTCATGCAACTGCCGCAAAAGACATTATTCCTAGGAAAACATGCACACAAACCAGTTTATTATACTCTACCAGATAAAACTTTCAGGTAAACATTTAAAAAAAATAAAGTTCAATAGTTCAATAATAAACAGCAAACGGTAATGCTAAGGTTATTGCAATATTAACATACAGTGTATGCTAATCTTGTATGGTCACACACTTTTTCAAAAATGGCATTAATAGTATACAAAAATAAACATAGATAATAGGTTGCGGTCAATGGCTCGATGTCCAAGTGCAGACTGGTGATGAGCGGTATTCCTCAGGGGTTGGTATTGGGACCAGCACTGTTTAACATCTTTGATGGTGACATGGACAGTGGGATTGAGTGCACCCTTAGCAAGTTTGCTGATGACACCAAGCTGTGTGGTGTGGTTGACATACTGGAGGGAAGGGATGCCATCCAGAGAGACCTTGACAGGCTTGAGAAGTGGGCCCGTGTGAACCTCATGAGATTCAACAAGGCCAAGTGCAAGTTCCTGCACATGGTTTGGGGCAATCCCAAGAGAAAATACAGGCTAGGCAGAGAATGGATTGGGACCAGCCCTGAGGAGAAGGACTTTGGGGTGTTGGTTGACGAGAAGCTCAACATGACCCGGCAATCACAGAATCAATATGGCTGGAAGACACCTCTGGGATCAACCTTTGCCCTGACACCACCATGTCAACTAGACCATGGCACAAGTGCCATGTCCAGTCTTTTCTTAAACACCTCCAGGGATGGTGACTCCACCACCTCCCCAGGCAGCCCATTCCAGCGCCTAACAAGCCCTTCTGTGAAGAAATGCCTCCTAATCTCTAACTTGAAC